GACATAAATTTGTATAATGACAAAGGTATGTCATAGGTATTACAAGGAGAAGGTGACTTTTCAGGACATTATCCCATGTCCCCACTTTTCAAAACGCATGTAAATCACACAGAATGGAGTGTATTGAAAAAAATAAATAGCACAAAGTTTCCTGTGAGGGGTAGGTTTAGGGGTAGGGTTGGTGTAGGGCAATAGAATATACGGTCTGTACAGTAGAAAAACCATTACGCCTATGGGATGTCCCCACTTTTCACAAAAACAAACCTGTGTGTGTGTGTGGCGGTTATTCAGGTGCAGACACTATCGGAACCAAACTGTGTAAACGCTGTTTCATTTATATGTGTGCATTTAGAAGATTTAGCTTCTCTAAAGTGACTCACATTGCATGCAAGGAATACATGTTATTAGTTTCCTGAGAGTGAGCACATTTACAGCACATTTTCATTTTTGGTTGACCTCTTTTAAGACGTGAATGTTTAGCCAATGCATATTGTGCATGCAATCTATCACAAGTGCTCGTGTGTGTTATTTTGCACATCTGAAACAGTCAAGCGTTGATCATTACTATCTAAGATCTCGTCAGCTGCTTTGTTTCTAATCTGGTGTCTTTATGGGAAAATCACTGTTTAGATTAGTTGCTCTTTATTACGAGTTCAAAGGGAGTGAACGTGTTTGAAATGTTTCCTGAAGCTCCTTTATCAGCTTTAATGATGATATGATGAATCCAGCTGCTCTCGGCTTCATTCAGAACAAACATGAATCATCTCACACAAACACCAGCAATAATATCGCTCAGAAACTCACCAAAACACAATATTATTCAGCAACATCCCATATATCTATGACCAAAAAAATTAAATCTGGCCAGAATATATTTTAAATATATGTTGTAAACAATGAAGTTAAATTAAAAATATTTTTGAAATTGAACATATATTTACTTTCAACTTTCATATAGCAAAATATATTTAGAAATGTATTTCAGGGGCAAAAAAAAAAAAATTCAAACTTACAGTAGCCTACATTTGTCTAAATTCAAATGTGGATGGAATAGCCTAAAAAAACTCTATTCATAATGATTTATAATTTTTTTATGTGTTATATGTTCATGTGCGTTATAGACAACAAATAGTTTTTCTTCAAATGTGAAATGTGAATGTATTTTCTTTGATTGAAAATATATGGAGGCCAAAATAAAGTTAAAAAATATTCATATTTTTAAAATATATTTTCAAAATTATATAAAGAATGTCCAAAAAAATTATACTGGTAGAAAATATATTTACATAAATATATTTTAAAACATATTTTAGCAAATATATTTTTTTGGCCTTTTTTGTGTGTGTATATTTTCAAATATATTTATTTTCTTTTTTTGCCATGTGGGATGACATTCAAATGCATTTCTAATATGTTTTGGGATGGATTAATAAATGAATGCTCAGACGTGTTTATTTTCTAGAGCAGACTTCAGAAGAGTTTGTTTAATCTGGATTTGTGGCACTCCAGTGAATCCATCTTTATATTCTCTGCTTCAGATGAACATTGCATGTGCTTCATGTCCGCTCTCGGGTTACACGCTGCAGCAAAACCACACAGAAGAGGAACGTGAGCTTCAAACGCAGGCTAATCAGAGAGCAGAGAGTTAATGCGCTGCATCTGTTCCTCAGCAAACATCAGGTACTGATCCTGCCGTCTCTTCGATGAACACTTCGAGGGTCCTGCAGTGAAGTCACTGATGCAAACAATTCAAAACACAACCTAAAGACAACGTTTCTGAAACAGTGGAAAACCTCAACTGAAAATAAAGTTTGTTTAATTATAAAGTAGCAAATGTATTTAATTGATCAACATTCAAATATTTAATATTATTTCATTTTATAATTATAAATAATAAATAAATTAATTAATTAAAAATAAAAAAAAGAATTTTCCACAGTTTCAAAACTAAAATTCTTTTTCCTGCTGTTTTGGTTGAATATTTTCAGCTGCGAAATTTTGAAATTGTATTTTAAAATAGAGATGTACTGAAATTTCGGCAACAGGAAATATTTGGTTGAAACAGCAAAAATTATTTTTCTGATCAAATTTTCCAACAAAATAATGACATTTTCAATTTTAATGCACTATTATGAAACAGTGATGCACAGAAATTTCACCAACTGAAAATATTGGAAAATTTATATTTTAATATTATATATAATATAAATACATAATATATAAAATTCTGACACATGCATGCACACACGGTTTCAAAAAAAAAATCTGATAAAATTTTCCAACAAAATTATGAATTTTTCGACACGTGCACTTTTATGAAATAGTCATGCACAGAAATTTCGGCAACCAAAAATATTGGAAAATTAATATTTCAATATTATATATAATAATATAATATATAATATCGGTGCATCACCATGAAACAGTATTTTGAAATAGTGATGGGCTGGAATTCTGGCAACTGAAAATATTCAGCAAAAAATTAATTTTCAGTTTTGACCGAAATGGTACTTCAATTACATACATTTAAAGGAGAGGACGCTCTTTATAAAAATGTAGACACTTGATTAAACAATTGAGGTGAAAGGTTGAAAGTCTGTGAGATTCTGCTGTAAATCAGTGTATTTTCTGTCTCTCAGGACATTCCTGTGCCGCCGGGGGGGGAAAACAGCTCTGATCATGTTTCATCTCCAGCAGAGAGAAGATGTGAGACATGTGAAGAACCGAGAGGAACCACAATCAGTATCTCTGACCCGCAGACCTTCATTCAGACGGACCTGATGGAAACCCTGTCCAACATCTCAAACATCTGCTGTTCCTACAGACCTGTGTGGAGTTCTGTCAGCTGACATCTTCACGTGCTCTCTGTGTTGTGTGAATGAAATGAATTCAGACACAGTCAAAACATGTCATCGGAGAAGCACTAAACACCCTCCAACACCATTTCGTCTGAAACCGAAAATTACTTCAACCAAAATAGCAAAAACAAAAAAACATTTTTTTGATACATGCATGCACTAAATATATACATATATATTTTTCTTTTTAGGATGAATATTTTCAGTTGCCAAAATTTCTGTGTATCAGTACTTTTAAACAGGAAAAAAAAAATTTCCAACAAAAAAATATTAATTTTCTGACACGTGCAAGCACACACTATTTTGACAGTGATGCACCAAAAATTTGGCAACCAAAAATATTGTAAAATCTAATTTTTTTTTATTGCATTTTTGGACAAATAAAAAAAATAAAAATTAAGATTAAAAAAAGAATTTTCCAACACATGCACGCACACAGTTTGTAGTCCGTTTGTTCATTGGTTCCCCTTGATTAGTCTCCCCAGGTGTGTCTTATCTTGTTAAGCTTGTTAGCCCACTGTGTGTATATATAGCCCTAGTTTTTCTTTAGTTCCTTGTGAGTTGTTGAATGTAATGGTTGTCAGTTTGCCGGTCATGCTGTTCTTTGTTCCCTTTGGTTTTTGCCTTATTGTTTGTCCTAGTTTTTCCATTAAATACCAGCACATAGATCCTTGCCTCTGCCTTTTTCCGCAGCTTCTCCACAACGTTACAGTTTTTAACTAGCATGTCTCTTTGACTAGTGCATCTTTTGAGCCTATGTTTAGTATAAGTAAAATTGGATATAATGCAACATTTGCTTTTGGCCCTTCATAGTGAAAAGCACTGGAGGCTTCAGCTCACTGACAAGGGGCCGCAAGACACAGGGTTATTACAGTTAACTAAAACCTTAACAAAAGTGTTACTTAAAATAAACAATAACTGAAATAAAAAATTAAAAAATACACAAATTTTAGCTAATTGCCAAAGAAACTAAAAAAACTAAAACCAAAATGAAAATGAATACAAACTATATATGATACTAAAATAACCCTGAAACAATTTAAAATACTTAAAAGATACAAACTGATACAAATTAAGATGAAAACTGACATATTTTCTATTTTAATTCAAGTAATTCTTATTTCACAACCAGGATTCTCACGCTCTTGGAAACCCTGAATATATGATAGAATTTTAAAAGTATGTTTTATAGATGAGAAAAAGCCATGGAAATTAATAAAATCTTTTCTATAACGAATCTGGATTTTTATAGTCTTGTCGAGCTAAACCGATCATGAACAACTGGAAAAATGAAGTAAATTCATTGATCATAAAGTGTGAGATTTTTGGAAATCACAATTTAATTATTTGAATTATTTACTGATGTTAATGCATTGCCACTCCTATAGTTTCTGTAAATAAAAAGTTTAAAACGACCAGCTTTGTTATTACAGCAAAAATATCAGAGGTGCAGAAACGTATTTTTCCTGTGATTAGAGACTCTAATTATGAGCAGAATCGCATTAATCGCATTATAAAGACGCATGAAAACAAAACACAGGTGATTTGTGATATCTCACCACTGATGCAGCTCTCTAATAACCACAAACACAAACCGCATCGATTTCAGCAATACTTTATTCCAAAATAAAAATCACATCAATTGCATTTATCGCTCTTTTGTCGCTGGTTCAATCCCTTCTCATTACACACGCTAAAAACACCACGACCTCTCAGGGTCAAATATAAGAAAGGTCAAAGGTCAAGGCAAAGGGGTTTCTACTGCAGAGCTTCTGTGGGAATCAAACTGAAGCGCCGCTGTGTTTCTGCTCCAACAAACAAGCTGCTGTTTTACAAAGTTACCAAAAGCCCTTAAAATAGTGGTTAACTTTCTTTTTTTTTTTTTTTACTCATTTTTTGCCGTTTTGCATTTATAATGCAGGATCAGTTAGTGCCAAAAACACAACAAAAACTAACAAGTGAACAAGCATTGCAATAAAAACATGCTTATGATTCAAGTACAAACGAGTTTCAATTCAGTTTGTTGAGTTTGAAGAGCAAAATCAAAATTAAAGGGAAAAAATCCTTTTAATTTGGACCTGGACGCGTTTCTGTGAGATTCACACTGGACCATAAATAAACCCAAGTGGCAGAAATTAATATTTTCAGACATTTTAAGGCAAATATTTTTTTTGTTTGCGAGTCCATCATCTCAGCGCGGGTTTGGTTTGACGAGGCTGAAGCTGATGGCTTGATGATGAAGATCTCGGCAGAGGTCGGAGGTCGCGTGTTGGTTCTCAGCTGATGAGATTATTCCTAAACAACACAAACACAAATCACATCAAACAGACGTTTCAGTTCTTCAGAGCTTTTGGGAAGATTTTCACACAAAACACGTCCGGATCATGTTCCACCTCAGGGAAAAAAATAACAATAAAAATAAATACAATTATTAATTAATAATAAAATAATATTTTGCATGAAGAAAATGAGGACTATTTTTTTTTTTGCATTGTGATATTGTTCATGATATTGCAATTAGACACATGTAACCCGAAAATATCATTAATAAAATTATTTTTAATTTTATTTTGCACCTTTTGTAACAATACAGGTCTTTACCGTCACTTTTTATCAATTTTACACATCCTTGATGAATAAAAGTATTAAGTAAAAGAAAAACATTTACAGACACAAACTTCTGAACGGTAGTGTAAATTGTTACAAAAGATTTCTATTTTAAGTAAATGCTGACTTTTTTATTTTTTTAAAACTTTTTTTCATCAAAGAATCTTGAAAAAGTATCACAGGTTCCAAAAAAATATGAAGCAGCAAAAACCGGTTTCTAACATCCATAATAAATGAGCGTATTAGAATGATTTCTGAAGATCATGTGACACTGAAGACTGGAGTAATGATGCTGAAAATACAGCTTTGATCACAGAAATACATTACAGTTTAACACATATTCACATAGAAAACAGCTGTTTTAGATTCTAATAATATTTCAGTGTTTTTCTGTATTTTTGATCAAATAAATGCAGCCTTGGTGAGCAGAAGAGACTTCTTTAAAACACGAAAATTCTTACAGATCCCAAACTTTTGAAAAGCAGTGTGTATATATGTACACACTCACTCACTCACTCACTCACTCACTCACACACACACACTCACTCACTCACTCACTCACTCACTCACTCACTCACTCACTCACTCACTCACTCACTCACTCACTCACTCACTCACTCACTCACTCACTCACTCACTCACTCACTCACTCACTCACTCACTCACTCACTCACTCACTCACTCACTCACTCACTCACTCACTCACTCACTCACTCACTCAC